CCCCGCGGCCCCGGGCGGAGGGGGTCTGTCCTCCCCAAGCCGCGCTCGTCGCCCTCGGGCCTCTCCCCTCGAGCGTACAGGTGAGTCTCCCCTTCGCAGGGCGGGGCCGGCGCGCGGCCGCTCGGGGCAGGTTTGCAGCGGCGCTGGGGATCCCCGGGACCCCGAAAGTTACAGCAGCCTCAACCGCAGCAGCAGTCGCCCAGAGCTGCCCGGAGCCCCCTAGACGCTGCAAAAGGGCCAGCCGCCTGGTCCCCAGGGTCTTCCCAGGGCGCTTCGGGGTAACATCCTACAAAACACCCCTCGCCCCCAAGTCCTTCCTCCTCCACCACCAGTTTTTCCATCAACTGTACGACTTTTTGGAAGACGACAGGCCCAGTATGCCCTCGAGGGCAGGGAAGGTGTGGCCAAGAAAACAGGCTGGCAGCAGGTGGAAGCCCCAGTCTCCTCCCCCTTTTCCCTCCCCCAGGATGCAGGAATATCATCAGCGCATCTCTGCCGCCCTGGCTTCTGAAAATTTGTGTCCGCCTCCTGAACCGACGTGCCTTCAATAGTGGTCTGTTTCCAGGTTGTCCGGTTCCAGCTTCCCTGTGAAATCTCATCATCTCTTCAGGAGATTAAGATTCTAGCCACTCACGCCCGTGTTTCAGATTCAAACTAGGATTATTTAGAGTGATGTAGTGTAGAGTTTAAAACCAAAAGATACTCGCATCCCCTTGTTGAAAGCTGTCTAGTACAACAGATTTACTTGAACTTTTCATAGAAGTCTTTCATCTACTGTTTGGCCAGAGAAGTAATTTCATCTGTAGCTGTAATTGCTGATTACTTAAAAATCTTATTCTAAGGACTGAGTGCTGCGCACGGTTTTTATTTATTTATTTATTTATTTCCTCCCTCAGTATTTGAGAGGCTAGTCTAGACTACATAACAAGGCCCTGCCCAAAATTTAAAAAAAAAAAAAGCCCTCTTATTTTATCACTATGCCATTACCTCTGGTCCAGTGTATCAAACTGTAAGACAATGTTTGGTCCTGTGTGATGGCTCAGCAGGTAATGAAGCTGTAAAGCTTGACAGCTGGAGTTCACCATCCTGGGAGCCCACGGGGTAGAAGGAGAGAACCACCTCCTCCAAGCTGTTCTCTGACCTCCATGTGAGTGCTGCTGCGACCACAGGCAAGCACAATTCATCCGTTAAATAAATATAGTCTAACAAAATATTGTCGCTGGAGGGCTGGCTCAGCTATTCGGAGCACTTGCTGCTCTTGCAGAGGACTGAGTGTAGATTCCCAGCATCCATATGACAGTTCCCAAGTCTGTAGCTCCTGTTCCTTGTTACCCCCCTCCTCTTCTTACCTCTGAGGGCTCATCCATGTACCTGATGCACCAGCATGCACCCACGGGCACACATACATACAAATAAGTAAAACGTCAGAATTAAAAAATACAGTACGTCTCAGAGTCTAGCTTTTTTTTTTTCCTGGCATGCAGTTGTTCTTTTGATTGGGATTTTATGTATTGTTCTGATACACTTTGGATGTAGGACGATTATGAAGTAATTAAAATTAGCGTCCTGTTAATCTTTGCTACAGCGTTACATCTTACCCCATCAGCAGCCAGTTTCCAAAAGAGGAGGTTTTAGTGCTTGGGGGATTTTCTTTACCATCCAATCGTGATATATTTTACAGTTTTAGAACCCCGTGTAGTCTTAGGCTAGCAAATGAGAAACAACGCTGCATGAGGGCCCAGGAAATGTGGGTCCCAAAGGAGGGAAAGGTGTGAAAAGTAGTGTGACTTAGAACTCCATTCCTCTGACCTGTGACCCGTGCAGTGGCTTGCAGGTGTTCATGCTCAGAAGCAGCCTTTGACTTAGCTCCAGAACCCTACAGAAAACTCCACTTTGCCTGGAGTGATGGCGCTCAAGGGCTGACCAGCGTGCTTGAGGCGCTAGGTTCAGCCCCCAGTGTAAGAACAGGGAAAAATCCTTCAGCTGTTGAGTGGAGGGTGCCTCACCCTGGAGTGAAGTGATTATGTTCAGGGAAAATGAGTTACACGCAACAACAAATAGCGTCAGTCACTCTCGGAAGTCGCACTGTGCATTGCTCTCCTTTTGTCTTTCTCATACTGATAGGTGGAGTAAGACCATCAGCGATGATGATAGGAACGTTGTAGGTTATCAATAAAATGGCGATTATCAATAAAATGGCGTGACTTTACATCCTGAAAATACAGAAATGTAATTTTTAAGTTTTTAGAGGTTTATTTTAGGTGCATGAATTTTGTCTGCTTGTATGTATATGTACCACACCTATGCCTGGCGCCCCCAGAAGAAAGCATCAGATATCCTAGAATTATTGATAGTCGTGAGCTCCCATACGGGTGCTGGGAACTGAACCCAGGTCTTCTGCAAAAGCAAGAGCCATCTCTCTAGCTCCAGAAATATAACACTTAAAAAGTTGTGTTTTTTTTTTAAGATTGTGTCTGTGTATGAGTATATGCACATGAGCACAGGTATCTGTGGAGGCCAGAAGAGGACATTGAATTCCCTAGAGCTGGAGTTGCAGGTAGTTAAGAGCCACCTGACGTGGGAGCTAGGAACCAAACTCTGGTCATCTGCAAAAGCGGTACATGCTCTTAGCTGCTAAGCCATCTCTCTAGCCCCCAAAATCTAGTCTTTATAACCTATTTTACTCTAATGTTCTGCCAACTTTATTATACTGATTTTTGTTTGTCGTTACTACTTTAAAAAAAAAGTAGAATTCTGTCAATGATTGATAAGAAGGACTGGGAGATAGAGGAATCAGTAGATTCCACAACCTCGATGTTGGCAGTCCTGAGTAGTCTTTTGGAAGATTTAGTCTAAATTAGAAATTCAAATAAAGTACACATTTGCTTCTGGTATTTTTGTAGCCATTTTACTCATTTCAAACAAATCTGGCTAAGATGTTAAAATGTTCCTCAAGTTGGGAAACATAGTATTTTTTTTTTAATTCTGGAGCAGAAAGAATTCACCTTTTCCTTATCGACTGAAATTGCTTGGCGTGTAGTCTTGGTGGATTAGTCTTGTCCCGAGGCTGGTACAGCAGAGCAGATGGCCATGCTCCTTGGAGGTTTCCCACTCAATTCATGTTTCTATGAAGAAGTCGTCTGCCAGAAGGCAGCCAGGACTAGGGCAGCACTGGAGGTGATACCAAGCCCCGATCAGCACAGGTGGAGGCTGCAATAGCTCCAGTAGTCAGGAATAAAACCTCTGTGCTAGCAATGGAACCTAGGGCTCCTGATGCCAAGCCAGGGCTGTAGTACTGAGCCATAGCCCCATCCCCGTATTGTTGTGCATTGCCTTAATGAATCCAACCTTAGCTTTAAGTGGCTGCCAGGTTACTGTGTGTGATGTCCATGCATATTTCTCTTTTCAATTTTTTGTTTATTTTGTTTGTTTGTTTCCAAACAAGTTTTCTCAATGTAGCTTTAGAGCCTGCCCTTGCACTCTCTCTATAGGCCAGACTGACCTCAAACTCACAGAGATCTGCCTGCCTCTGCCTCCTGAGTGCTGGGATTAAAGGTGTGCTTCCCCGCCACCCAGCTGCTCTTTTCAGTTTTAACCGAATTTAGAATGTCAGGAAATTCTGAAGTGATTGACAGTGTTGACTTCAAAACAAAAACACATACACAAAAACCTCATTGTGTGTTTTTAGCAAGATAGCCAATATCTGTCAAGTAATGGCTGATACCATAGACATTTCGCTGTGACATAAATTTCTATAAGGCTCATGCAAAGGCCTAGTGGCATTTTTGTTGTAAGTCTGTACCACACTGGAAGCAGATAGCTACCTCAGCGGCTGTTCAGGAGCACCATTTACTGACAAACCCTCCCTGCTTTTCTTGAGGTCATACAAACTGCGAGGAGTTTCTCTTCCTTTGTGATCATTTAGAGGGTTGTCTTGTTATTTTTCTCCTCTATATTATGATTTAAATGTCAGTTTTACCAGCCGTGCTGATGCTAATTCGGCCCTTTCAACCAACAAGGAAACTCATACCATGCTTGTTTTAAAAGAATTACTGAGTACTGGTCATGCGCAAAACGTTATTCTGAGTATGAGCCTTTACTTCTTGCAACGTCTTTATTGAGTGGAGATTATTATTATCTACATTTTGTACTTGAGAAATTAGGAACAGTTAGGCAGGTTTAGTGAGATGGCTCACAGGGTAAAAGCACTTGCTGCCAAGCCTAACATGGCCTGAGTTCTACATGGTAGGAGGAGAGAACAGACTCCCAAAAATTGCCCTCTGTCTCCCATGTGCACACCATGGCACATACCAGCACACACATATGTATAAAAACACATACATAAAGAGGCACTAGAAATTTACAAAACCAAATCCACCAGAAACAGATAAGATAGAGTCATGTATATGAACGGAGTCCTGTAGGGGCCAGAGTTCCCATGTTGGAGGTCTGAAGGTGGCCCCTGACCCCTCCTGGAGACAGGGATTGCTCAGACACATTCACAGTTAGGTGCATTTCCAGTCTGTCCTTTTTAAGAATATAAATGTGTAAGTCTTATAACAGAATTACTTAATGATACTCTAAAACCTTTGATCTGGGCTTGGTGGCATAAGCCTGTAATCCCAGCTAACGGAAAAGCTGAGGCGAAAGGGTCAAAAGTTCAAGGACTAGGCTAACGCGAGTATTCAGAGCCAGGCTGGACACCTTAAGGAGACCATGTCTCTTTGTCTCAAAATGCAGATAAAAAGAGGACTGAGAAGCAGCTCAGTGGTAGAGCACTTGCCTAGTATGTAGGAGGCCCTGGATCCAACCTTTAGTGCCACAATAAGTAATTTTGAAGGAACAATTATTATTGTGGCCATTGTTAGGATAATTAATAAAATTTGAATAGAGACTAAAATGGATAATACTATTATATCGTTGTTAAACGTGTGGGTTTTGCTACTGTGTAAGAAATGGATTTTGCACTCATGCTGATTTGATAGGATATGAACTATGCTTTACTTTTTAATAGTTTGGAGAGAGAATGATAAAGTTAAAAGGCAGTCTGCTACCTGTATGTAAAGATGTGTTAGTTTTTGTTGTTGTTTAGTTTTGTTTGGATTTTTTAACGTACATTGGTGTTTTTGCTATGGGTGTTGGATTCCCTAAAACTGGAGTTACAGACAGGTGTAAGCTGCCATGTGGGTGCTAGGAATTGAACCCAGGTCCTCTGGAAGAGCAGTCAGTGCTCTTAACCCCTGAGCAGTCTCTTTTGCATTTTTGAGACAGGGTTTCTCTGTGTAGCCCTGGTTGTCCTATAACTCGCTCTGTAAACCAGACTCTTGAACTCAGAGATCCGCCTACCTCTGCCTCCTGAATGCTGTGATTAATGATTAATGCTTTTGCACCACCACCCAGCTAAGATGGTTACCATGTAACCCAGGCAAGCCTGGAACTTACTATATAGCCCAAGCTGACTTCAAGTTCATGGCAATCCTCCTGTCTCCGGCTCTCAAATGCTGAGATTATAGACATGAGCTACCATGCATGCCTAAGCCCATTTTTATCATTTCTTTTTGAAGTTATATCAAAAGAAAGCTACCCTAAGTTGGAGGTAGAAAAACAGGAAACGAATATATAAAATTCTAAGTCAAGTCAAGGATTGTTTCCTATGCTCTATTTTATTTTATTCTCTGTGATATTGGAGGAAGAACCTTGAAACAAAGTAATAATTACTAAAAGTAGACTGTAAACTAGGGCTGTAGTTCAATAGTAGAGTATGGGTTTAGCACTATCAAGGCCAGTTCTACACATGTGTAGGCAGAAAATAGCTTTTCTTTCCCTTCCTCTACTCTCCCTCTCCCCCTCTCCAAAGGAGCTCTGCCTGCCTGGAACTGGTCTGGTCCTCACTCCCTATGTAACTAGGCTGGCCTGGAACTCATGGAGATCCACTAGCCTCTGTCTGCTAAGTGCTGGGATTAAAAACATGAGCTACCATGACCATCTTTTGTGCATATTTATTGTGGGGGAATCTTTGGGAAGTTCCTTCTTTCTTTGAGACAGGGTTTTTCTGTGTAACAGTTCTGACTATCTTGGAACTCACTCTGTAGACCAGGCTGGCCTCGAACTCACAGAGATCCGCCCACCTCTGCCTCTCAAGTGTTGGGATTAAAGGTGTGTGCCACTACTGCCCAGAATCTTTTAAGTAGGAGAAAATAAAAAATAAATGAGGGATTACAAAAAACAAACACTTAATGCCATAGACAGGCTACAAAGAAAGCCCACTTTTATACCCAAGATTAAACTAGACTGGTACTAAATACCTATATACCAGCTTTCTGACTTTTCTCGTTCTGACTGCAAACGCCTGCTTGGTGCCAGACTGCACCCATTCTTTACCTGCTGTTGTCCTCCACAGCCGTTTTTGGGAGCCCATCTCTGTTGACAGAGGTTTCTGTCCCACCTGGGCCCGCAGCCATTCAGTCCCAAAGAAGCACACAGAGGCCTCCATTAGTTATAAACTGGTTGGCCTGTCAGCTCAGCCTTCTTATCAACTAACTCTTACATCTTAAATTAACCCATAATTCTTGTCTGTGTTAGCCACATGGCTTGGTACTTTTTGTCAGTGAGGCATTCTCACCTTGTGTCCTCTGAATCTGGGTGATAACTGCAGACTGAGCCTTTCCCCTTCCCAGAATTCTATTCTGGTTGCCCCGCCTATACTTCCTGCCTGGCTACTGGCCAATCAGCATTTTATTAAGCCATGCAAGTAACAAATCTTTACGGGGTCCAAGACCATTGTCCCACAGTACATCTCTAATTCCTTACAGAACTGAATTTTTTCTGTCATTGATGACATTCCAGTGACATGGTGACATGGCATGATGCTCGGTGCTGTCTGCTTTTGTTCAGCAGTCCTTGCTGAGCAGCTGTGAGTCAGAAACTGGCAGGGCCTGGGAAATTGAAGGCATGAGCAGTCGGTGATTTGTCAGCAATTGAATAACCTGAGAACAGAGAAGGGAGCGGAGTGTGAGAGCCCAGCCTCCCCCAATGAAAGCTGTAGTGAGACACTCTGCTGGGGGTCTCCCCTCAGACTAGAAAGACCTCACACAGCAATTAAAAGAATCAGCTAAAATTTATTGTCAGCCCTGTGGGCCAAGGGGCAGCTTAGAATCTCCAGGGATGTGGTATATCTTCCAAACCTCCAGTTCTATGTGGTGCAGAGTCAGCCCTCCTTTCCCCGCGGCTTTGATGCCGTGCTTCATGGCTTAGGAGCAATTGTGTGAAATGCAAGATGGTACTGGCACATGGGAGGCCCAGAGGAGCAGGAAACCCAGTTGAGAACTAAGAAGCTAAAGGCTACAGAGGGGGCAGCGCTGGAACCTCAGAGAGACCCAAGTGTAAAAAGTGACTGAGAAAAATGCCTGTGGGGAGAGACTGGAAGTGAAGGAAGGGGGATGTCGAGGGCACACTGCAGAAAGTGGGTTCTGGTGCTCAGGAAGCCTTGGTTGTCAGTAATGAGGGGAGTTGAAGCCAAGAGAGAATGGCAGCTGCTTGGGAGACTAAACCCTGGAGGGAGTGGGATGGAGGAAATAAAGTAGGTGAACCCATCTACAGGGAGTGGGTAGGAAGAGGAGCAGGTAGATGAAGCCAAGGTGGAACCAATGGTGGGATCCAACATGAGCGGGCTTCCGTGCCGAGGAAGAGGAGCAGGTGGAGAAGTGGATGGTAGAGCAGACAGTAGGATGAGGCCCCGTTAGGGGGTGTGACTGGCTTGCCCTACAGGACAACTACTCAGTGTCCCCCAGTGCCTGGCAGGAGGTGTCCAGAATGTTGACAGAACAAGGATAGATGCTGTTTTTTAAAGTTGTCTTGAGTGGTATAGAATAATGGGAAACTGCTTTTGTTTTTGTTTTTGTTTTTTTGAGACAGGTTTCTCTGTGTAGCTTTGACTGTTCTGGAACTCACTCTGTAGACCAGGCTGGCCTCAAACTCACAGAGATCCGCCTGCCTCTGCCTCCCGAGTGCTGGAATTAAAGGCATGCACCACCACTGCCCAGCTGGAAACTCCACTATTTTTACCCCATAGTTAATAACCAGTATGAAATGTATCCTATGTAAGCAATGCATCTGGAGCCTGTGTCCTTCAAAATGAAAGGGAACTCAGAAGTGCAGTTCTGAATACTCATGATCACTCGGTGCCTCTGTCACTCGTGGTTTTCCTTCAGTTCCATGTCACATGTCCAAAGGTACACTGTGTGATGAGTGTGGTGTGGTTTCCTGAGGAGCCAGACACAGGCAGATTCTGCCCCAGTGTTTTACAGAAGGACAGTGCCAGCTCTAGGCCTCTGACTCTAAGTGCACAATGTCTAAAAGTTCAGGAGTGCGTCTTCTGGGTTGTCTTCCAGTTTTAGTTGTATGCTGTACACTCTGAGTTCATGAACACCTTTGAGAGGAAACTCAGGGATCTAGACAACTTAATTATTTGAGAGTCTGCTCAGGAAAAAAAAAAAAACTTACTGGGTAAGAAAGGCAGAGCCTCGCGACAGCATTTCAGGGTGCAGATGGCGAGCAGACCGTGTGGGTGTGATTCTGCTGGGCCACTTCCAGTGTTTGCCGCCTAAAACCCAAAACAAATATGTGAGGGCCGCTCCGGCTCCCACTTTCCCTCTCTCTGCTTGTAAACCAAAGTACATGTTGATGCGATCCTGTCACCTCGTCCTTTTCTTCCTGTTTTCACCAGGAAGCGTTTGCTTTTTCGCTTCTTCATATTCCATTGCCCCATAAAATCTGCTAAGCAAATCAGGTGTGTAGATAGAAAATTCACTTGTGAGATCTGGAGCTGACTTAAATGCTGATTGATCTTTCCTGGATAAAGTCATTTTGCTTGATGAATTGCTGTCTTGAGGATAGATTGACTGCAACATGATAAGGCCTTCAGTTTTTTTTCTCCATTGTTTTCTTTCTTTCTTTTTTTAAGCAGTGTCTGGCAGATATCCTAGAACTTTACCCACAGAGAAGATGCTTCGAGACACCATGAAATCTTGGAATGACAGCCAGTCAGATCTCTGTAGCAGCGATCAGGAAGAGGAAGAGGAGATGGTCTTCGGTGAAAATGAAGATGACTTGGAAGAGATGATGGATCTGAGCGACCTGCCCACCTCACTTTTTGCTTGCAGTGTCCACGAAGCGGTGTTTGAGGTCCAAGAGCAGAAGGTAGGCATGCCCCCAGTCCCTGCACTTACACCGTGGGAAGCATAGATAGCTTTGAGTAGACAGGTCCGAGAGCCGTGACGTGAAATAACAGAAAATGTGTGCTACACTGGGTCCCTCGCTGTATCTCAGGAGTCTCGGTCTGCCACTCACAGGTGTGCTGCAGAGCCAGCCCTCCTGCTCCACCTGAGAAGCCTTGGCTCTTAGTGAATTCAAGGCTCATTAAATGTGCTTTTCATTCATTCTCCTATTCATTGAGTTTTGGAGACTGTAATTGAGGGAAAGCTTTTTTAATGTTTTACTTGAAGATATTAAATATACATAATGTGAATCATTAGTAATTTTATTTCTGTACATAATGTGATTCTGCCATATACATTCTGTCATCCTCTCTTGTGCCTTTCCCACCTCGACCACTAATTCCTCCTTTACCCAACATGCTGTTGTAGTTGTTTGAGACAAGGTCTTACTCTGTGGCCCAGACTGGCCTGGGATTGGCTATGTGGCTCAGATTGTCATGGGATTGGCTGTGTGGCTCAGACTGGCCTGGGATTGGCTGTGTGGCTCAGATTGTCATGGGATTGGCTGTGTGGCTCAGACTGTCATGGGATTGGCTGTGTGGCTCAGACTGGCCTGGGATTGGCTGTGTGGCTCAGACTGGCCTGGGATTGGCTGTGTGGCTCAGACTGCCATGGAAATAGATGTGTGGTTCAGGCTAGCCTAGAACTTCCAGTGATCCTCCCAGCTCTAACTCCTGAATGCTGAGATGTCACAGGGATATGTCACCACACCCAGCCTCCAAGCACATGATTTTTCCTGGCTTCCTCTTCCTTGAGCATTCACTGAAGAAGGAATTCAGCTTTTTCCTAGGGCTTATAGTATGTAGGCTATTAGGATTAATTATCATTGTTAACATTTCTGGTAGTACTTTGTATGGTTTGGAAGGAAAAATAAGATTAACTTTTTAAAGCTATTTATTTACTTAGAAACTGTGTGTGTGTGTGTGTGTGTGTGTGTGTGTGTGTGTGTGTGTGTGT